TTCACATTATTGTACAGGAAGTAACAATCACTTAAAGAACCATAGATGGGTCTATTTTTTTTTTTTTAAATAATGACAAAATGCAAACAGGACCCCCCATCCACACAAGCAAGACGAATGGAGGAATCCCCCTACTGGCTACTGTTTTCTGACAGTAAGGACTCCTCCACTGTCAGAATACAGTTATCAGCACTGCAGCCAATTGGCTGCAGCAGCTGATCAGATGAGAATATTGCAACAGTCCCATTCAACGGAAGTTGATCATTAGATAAACTTCTGTCAAGTGGGAACAGACAGAGATGGATTGAAATTGATCCCTGCTGAACCAGCCGAAATTTTGAACCATCTATGGGCACCTTAAGATTTTTTTTTTTGCGCTTGCAGAAATGTACTTGGCATGGAAAAATGAAAACCAGCGAATACAGCCACCATAACTACGGCTCCATGTACACGGGGGTGTAGCAAACTTGCTCATCAGAGATGGATGCGGAGTTCCCCTTTTTTATTAGAAGTATTCCTCAATCCTTTATTCCCTACCCCTTCCCTTCCTGAGAGGCACAGGGACAGATGTGTGTGTGTTAAAAGTTGCTGGCAGGCTGGAGCAGCAGGGAGCCCAGCGCTACAAAGCCCCCCCATAGAGACAGCAGACTCTGTCCCAAGGCCTGTGTAAACTCACACCTCCTAACCAAGATAAAGTAGTTTTTTCCCAGACATGAAAGAGGTTGGAACCTCATAAACCCTACCAGCCAGGTGACAGAAGTTAAATGAACATTCCTCAGGTCAGCTGTCACCTATGTTTCATATCATGGATTATGAAGCTGTCAGTTTTAATGCAGAGTCCATCTGACGATCCCGCCCAAAACAGGGTATTGGCCAGTACTCAGAGCCACCCCCCCTGCAGGGGGACTTTAAAAGACAGACTGGCAAGCCTAAAAAGTTAAGCTACACACATCTCCCAATTTTAACTTTGTAACAGCAGGAGATCAAAGACCCTTCGCTCTGCAACTTGGATCTGCTTACCTTAAGGCTGAACATGGCAAGTAACTTAACCTTTTAACTTCTCCCTGTTATCTCTTTGCTGTGTTGTGCTGTTTTCTATGTATATATAAATATATATCTTAGTTACATCTTCTTTGTAAATATTTTATTGCACCTGTTTGACTCTTTTAGTAATAAATCTTTCATTCTGAAAGTGTTAAACTGTTTCTAAGCGCTTACTTGCAATTCACGAATTCCTGCCTTTGAAGAGACGCTACTGATTGTTTTAATCTCTGTATAACTGGCCTGCGGACCATGTTATACCACACCATTATTTCAATCATTATAGTGTATTAATTGATAAGGAGACTTTCCCCTTTCTCTGTACAAAAAGGGGTGGTGACAGTAGAGGGTTAGTTGAGTAATTAACCTGACCCAGTAACAAGCGCATTCAGACTGCAGGCACAGACTGTAGACCATTAGCTGGATAATCGTTGTGCCGGGCGCAGCTGTGTGTGGCGTTGTTACACACGTCACATCGCGGTTTTAGATCAGCCGGTCCTTCTGTCACGAGTTTGGTGAGAAGGTCTGGGGTCTGACGCCGTGGTCGTGACGTATTGTTGGTCGCGGTCGTGCGATCGTCGCATGTTGAGGGTGGCGATCGTGCGTCCGTGACAGGGGGCATTTGGAAAACACTTCTGAACAATGGAAACTGACTGCTGGAAACCGTAGGTTAAAAAATGTTTAGCCGCGTTTGCATAGCACATTTAGGTGCGTTTATGAGCGTTTGCGTTTAAAAGCGGTTTTTAAAGATAACCTCAGGAGACCTTCCAAAATGCCCAGAATGCACTGAAAAACAGTACAAAAAATTAACTATTTCAGACATTTTGAGAGAAATAGAGAGAGCAGAAGCAGAGAGAGCCATATTTGTTGAGATTAGCTGTCTTTTTTTTGTGGTATTTGGATGTGTTCCAGATCATTTCTGTGCAGAAATTATTGCAGCAGTGCCTAACATATTTTCTTTCATGCGAAACCACAAACCAAGTATGGTGTACCAGGTCCATTTGAGTACCAGGAAAACGCTTTGCATGGATTTTTCATGATGAAAAAAGGCTCTGGACAGCATCTGGAAATGAAAGAGTTAAAAAAAAGTTTCCAAACGCAAATGCTTACAAACGCGGTTAGCCGCGTTTACACGCCTTTACAAGAATTTCGCGTTTAAAATGCTGATAAAATCTACTCCTGAGCGTAAGTTTGGTGGAACTATAAACGACATAGTGTACATGACACATAGGAAAACATTAGGGAGAGTTCAGGGGCTGCTGAAAAAAAAATGCAGAAAAGCTCCTAAACATGAGTTTATCAGCTACAGTGTACATACTTTGTCAGGGTTGCTACACTGCAATACAGTATATTACACATTTGTTCTTGGGTTTTGTGGCGTACACAACTAATAGTTGTCCTGTGGACAGATTCTCCCACTGGTGCTGTGGATCTCTGCAGCTTCTCCAGAGTTGCCATGGGCCTCTTAGCTGTTTCTCTGATTAATGCTCTCCTTGTCTGGCCTGTCAGTTTAGGTGGACGGCCATGTCTTGGTAGATTTGCAGTTGTGCCATACTCTTTCCATTTTCGGAGGATGGATTGAACAGTGATCTGTGAGGTGTTCAAAGTTTGGGATATTTTTTTATAACCTAACCCTGCTTTAAACTTCTCCACAACCTTATCCCTGACCTGTGTGGTGTGTTCCTTGGCCTTCATGATGCTGTTTGTTTACTAATGTTCTCTAACAAACCTCTGAGGGCTTCGCAGAACAACGGTATTTATACTGAGATTAAATTACACACAGGTGACCTCTATTTTCTAATTAAATGCCTTCTGAAGGCAATTTGTTCCACTAGATTTTAGTTAGGTGTAACAGAGTAAAGGGGGCTGAATACAAATCCACAACACACTTTTCACATATTTATATGTAAAAAATTTTGAAAACCATTTATCATTTTCCTTCCACAATGATGTGCCACTTTGTGTTGGTCTATCACATAAAATCCCAATAAAATACATTTACATTTTTGGTTGTAACTTGACAAAATGTGGAAAATTTCAAGGGGTATGAATACTTTTTCATGGCACTGTAAATGATACAGAGGAATGAAATACTATGCATAGTAGAGTGGCACCTATCGATGCATGTAAAATTAACATGTGCGTGTAACAAAGAGTTAGGACATACTGCACATTAAAAAATGCGCAAAGTGATAGAGAGGTATGAGGCACTGTGCATAACACACAGGTAAGAGACATTAGGCACAATGGAAATGTGTGAATAAACCCTGAGCAGCTAGAGACACTGGGACACTAGAGAGGAGGTGGAACAGTGCCAGCATATAGCACAAGTGTGCTGTCTTTAATAATCACCTAATTATTGACCAGCCACCTACTGGTCGGTACTCAGCATTGTACCGAGGTTAACTTGCAGCTACACTTTCCCTAGTCAGGAGTGCTTAATTTGGCTTCAGAACATTCAATCAGAGCCTGATCGATGGCATGTCATTGACTGTTATGATTAAGCACTAGTACATCTCAAAATGTGCCAAGAGCTTTCCTTCTCCTACTTTGGTTTTACCTGTTTTGTACCATATTTTGATATATTAAAGTCCACATATTGTGCAGCCATTTGGAGCAATTTCCAGTGTGCGGTGGACAAAGCCAGGAAAGCGCCTGAATAGCAGTCGATGATATTGGAGCAAAAGCACCTGAAGCAGTATACTTTTATTTGTCTTAAGGCCTCATTAACACAACCATAAAAGAACGCATTAACAAGCATCTTTTATTTATGCATCTGATCGCAACAGCATTGTTTTTAATTGAAACATTCACACAAGTGGGTAAACATGCACTGCATTCAGATCCGTAACATAAAATTCAAAAATCACCATCTGAGGACATGCATGCATTCTAATATAAAAAAAAAAAAATTTTTTTTTACATATTTAAAAAATGGATCTAAAAGCAGGTATTATATAATGCAGGAACTTTGACTTCAGTAAACATCATTAAAATTTTTACTTCCATGTAATTGTAGCCCCACAGCTACTGCTGTGCTCTCTCATTTGAATCACCCAAAATGCTCTGTAACATCAGTATCATGTCTGCACCCTGTATTAAATATTTAATATTAATAGGCTTATATAAATTGCAAAAATGCTGTAATAGTTCAGTATATAAATATGTAAATTAAAAAAATATAAATAAGTAAAATAAACATTAGTCTCCTTTTGACATTAGTAATGTTTCACAAAGTATGAAGAAATGTCAGGAGTGGTTGAAAGTACTTTTATTATGCAGCATTAAAAAACATCTGTACCGTATAAGCATTTAGAGTGCAATGCCCTACTGGACAAGAAATAGACTTAATGGATGTAGTAACTTTAAAAACATGCTTTTATTTTTCCCCTCTAAGTAATTATAATATCCAAAGCTGCTGAATAGTGCTATTGTATATGACTGTTTCAGGAAGGGATTTACTTTACAATTGACACAGTTAGCAGCAGCTTACATTAAGTTCTCCATTTGTTTCACAGTAAGTGAAAAGAAGAAAAAAAAAAACAGTTGAATGTCTTGTGTATACAAAAAAAACCTGAAGGGTATGTATGGTTTATTTTTAATAATATACCCTGTAACTATCCTCCCTCTTTATTACTATGCAAATATAAATAAATATTAATGACAATGCTGTTATAAATGTTTTTGCTGTGAAATAAATGTTGCCATACCTGTTACAGTATGTCTAAGGTATAGGTTTCTAGTAGCACCATGTTGCAATGGGTCACATTTATAAGAGTATCTAGGAGAGGGTCTGTATCAATCAGTATAGTCCCTAGAACCCCCGTGAAATACTCAGCACTAAACTGAGTGCATTTCTCAATGTTACTACTGGTTTTAAAGTGTTACTAAAGGACCAGGACCCTGCATTCACTATATCTGGTCTCCCACAGTACACAGAACATGGAGGTGCAATTATTTTAGTAAATATAAACTGCTAAATACCTTTTCTCATCAGCAGTTAGAGCAGTCTTGTGACTTCAGCAGAGCACTGGTTAAAGCTTGTAGGTGGAGTTTTCTTTCTGCTCTAGGAGGATGCAGAACTCCTGACCTTTGCCCAGACAGTGCTGATTGTGCCCTGTGCTGATTACATGCACTCTCCCAAGAAAAAAAAACACCTTTCTAGCAATACACACCAAAGTTAGCATGTGCAGAGTGCCTCCACACGATATGTCTTATCAGGAGGTAAGAGGGGGACACTGGAAGAAGGGAAGGATCAGAGAAGTCAGGATCAAACAGCCTTTTTACATAGTGCAGAGGAGTAACCCATTAGGTTTCATAGTGAGTATAACAAACATGCTTTACTGCATATACAGACTAATTTTACTGTTGTGGGTTCAGTAACACTTTAAGACTGGATATGTTAGACCTCTGCCTCATGCCTCAATAATATACAGTATACAGTTATCACGCTCTCATAATATGCAGTGCCTCATGCCTGTGTATTAAGGGTTCATGCACATGTGGAGTACCAAGCATTTTAAATACTTAGCATGATTTTCCAGGTGCTTTCCCACACATGGGGTGCTTTCCCACACCTGGGATGCTGCACACAGCCTGCTATACAAGTGAATGGCTGTGCATGGCAACGCTGTTAAACACCAATGTTTCTTTGCATCTGTCTTTACCTGCTCACGTGCATCCGAAGTAATTTCTGAAAGCAAGACCTTCCTATTTGTAAAATACTTTGGAATGTGCATACACAGTTATATGCAAAGTAGCATCAAGGTTTACATGAGCATGGTCATATACAGTCAGTCATTTGGCACATGTGGCTCCCTGATTGCAGGAAAGCGATGGGAAATTGTGCCAAACATCTAAAATGCCTATGTAAGCCCCAAGTGCATGAAACCTTTAAGTAGTGTTTAACGACTATGTATTACACAGAATACCAATCCCATGTCTGACACCTGCAGTACCACAGTCTATAGACTTTCTTACTTCTTTTTAAAAAATGTGATTTGCTTTATTACATGCAGTGTCTTATGCCTAGTGCACACTATGAGAAAATTGGATGAAAAATACCGCTTTCTCAAGGATCGTCCGATAGTCTGATCATTAGTAAACAGCTTTCGAGAGCCTATTCATTCGAAATTACCCAAAGGGACAAGCACAAAATTTCTTGCACGAAAACAGAACAAACGATTTTTGTTTATCAGTGCAGTTTTCGTCTGTAAAAAAACCGCGCATGCTCAGAAACAAAAGAATACATTACAATACAATACATCACTTCCGAAGTTGTATTCTGTCTTATGAGAATTTTCAGAACCTTTTCATATTTGATATGAGACTAGCATGCAAAACAAAAAGGAATGTCAACCGTTTGTTCACTTAATTCTCTAGTGAATGAAGTGAAATTTCAATTTGAAAAGAATACCCAAGTATACGCAAGGAATATTTGCTTGCACATGATTGGATGATGGAAGTTGGTAGAGCTTCACCTCGGTTACAGCGCTTTCTGCGGGCTCGGGTACACCAGGAAGGCGAATCTGACGTCACTTCTGGTCACATACGTAGGTAGATGGAGATGGCGCATGTTCAGAGCATGCGTGCTCTCTCTTCAGGCCTTGACGGGGGGCATCTTTGCATGGCTATTTATGGACAACAGGAGGAGGGGAGGGGATGAACTAACTCATCACACCCTCCCTGTTACCATGGTAGCAATATCAAACACCAACCAACAAAGGGGCTCCCTGTGACATTACAAAATGACAAGGGCTGATCTAAGTTAGAAATAGGTGCTAATCTAAATCTAGATATAAAATCTATATACAGAAGATGAGGAAGACTATGTACTACTACTCACTCAATACCTTCCTTCCTCCCCTCCTATTCAACATACCAGTTTTCGCCCTAGATCCATTTTTAACCCCACGTTTGCTAAGAGCCCCTATACCCTGTTCCACATTATTATGCAAATTCTATTTAAGTGTCACAAAGATGAAATATTTTGTTTTTCAGTTTAACTCATGGATGGCATTGTGTGTCAGGGCTCTTTTGATCACTGAAAACAATCTCGGACACCTGTGATAATTAGATTGGCCGATGAGCCCAGTTTAAGGAAAAACTACTAAAGGAAGGTGTTCCACATTATTAAGCAGAGCACCATTTTCAAGCAATATGGGGAAGAAAAAGGATCTCTCTGCTGCCGAAAAGCTGCCTTGGACGAGGTATGAAAACATTAGATATTTCACAAAAACTTAAGCGTGATCATCGCACTATTAAGAGATTTGTGGCTGATTCAGAGCACAGATGGGTTTGTGCAGATAAAGGCACATTGAGGAAGATTTCTGCCAGATCCATGCATCAGATCAAGAGAGCAGCTGCTAAAATACCATTACATTACAGCAAACAGATATTTGAAGCTGCTGGTGCCTCTGGAGTCCCACGGACATCAAGGTGTAGAGTCCTCCAGAGTCTTGCAACTGTGCATAAACCTTCTATTCGGCCACCACTAACCAACGCTCCCAAGCAGAAACGGCTGCATTGGGCAGAAAAATACATGAAGACTGATTTTCAAACAGTCCTGTTCACTAATGAGTGCCGTGCAACCCTGGGTGGTCCAGATGAATGGAGTAGTGGATGGTTGGTAGACGGCCACCCTGTTCCAACAAGGCTGCGACGTCAGCAAGGCGGTGGTGGAGTCATGTTTTGGGTCAGAATCATGGGAACAGACCTGGTTGGCCCCTTTAGGGTCCCCGTAGGTGTAAAGATGACCTCTGCAAAGTATGTGAAGTTTATAACTGACCGCTTTCTTCCCTGATACAGAAGGAAGCACTATGCTTTCCGTAATAAAATCATCTTCATGCATGACAATGCACCATCTCATGCTGCAAAGAATACCTCTGCATCAATGGCTGCTATGGGGATAAAAGGAGAGAAAGTCATGGTGTGGCCTCTATCCTCCCCTGACCTCAATCCTATTGAGAACCTTTGGAGCATCCTCAAGCAAAACATCTATGAGGGTGGGAGGCAGTTTACATCCAAACAGCAGCTCTGGGAGGCTATTCTGACAACTTGCAAACAAATTCAAGCAGAAACTGCCCAAAAACTCACAAGTTCAATGGATGCAAGACTTTTGAAGCGGCTATCAAATAAGGGGTCCTATGTTAAAACGTAACGTGACCTGTTAAAATGTTTAAAAAGTTTGATTGAAATAGCTTTTGATTTCAGTAAATATGCTGCAAACACAACAAATGACAATTTTCAGTTCTTTACATCCTATGAAGTGTTTTGAAACTTACTGTGCGTAATAATTTGGAACAGTGCATTGTAAGTTTTTTATGTTTAAAAAAAATACTGTTATCATTAGGAGGTTTGTTCAATAAAATATGAATTGTACTCTTTAATAGTTGATAACATGAGAATTATGCTGACTGTTATTTACATCAATTATTTAGGTAAATGAGAAAAATATAATTTGCATAATAATTTTGGAACAGGTGTATATCCAAAGTTTTTATCAAGTAGTATATATGGACATTCTATAAATGTGGAAAGACACCTCCAAGTCCCCACATTCCCCTTCCAACCTCTCAGAGAATCCATAGCACTTCGACATATTTCACAGAATCACAATTTAATCATCAGACCAGCAGATAAGTGTGGGGGTATCGTTATCCAAAATCGAGAAGACTACATCAAGGAATCTCTGAGACTATTATCAGATACCCAGACATATCAGAAACTTAAAAGTGATCCTCTACCACAATTCCAAGAAGAACCCCACAGCCCCATTTAGAGAGCCTTCCAAGATGGGATCATTGATAAAACAGAAAAATCATTTTTAAAACAAGAATTATATAAAAGACCATATTGCTATCTCCTCCCTGAGATTCACAAAGATCTCCTACATCCGCCATTGTGGCCGCCATGGGCAGTGTAATTAGTTTCTTCTCCAAATACATTGACCACTTCTTGCAAGCAATAGCTGAAAACCTTCCTTCATACATAAGAGATAGCATACATCTTCTACAAATGTTGAATACATATTCCTAGGAATCCTCATACCTTTGACTCTCTCTAGATGTAAATTCCTTATATACACTGCTCAAAAAAAATTAAAGGAACACTTTGAAAACACATCAGATCTCACTAGGGAAAACTATCATGCTGGATATCTATACTGATATGGACTGGGTAATGTGTTAGGAAGGTAAGGATGCCCCATCGTTTAATGGAAATGAAAATTATCAACCTACAGAGGACTAAATTCAAAGACACCACGAAAATCAAAGTGAAAAAATGTTGCAGCAGGCTAGTCCATTTTGCTGAAATTTCATTGCAGCAACTCAAAATTATACTACTTGTTTGTATCACCCCCACGTGCTTGTATGCATACCTGACAAAGTCGGGGTATGCTCCTAATGAGATGATGGATGGTGTCCTGGTGTATTTCCTCCCTGATCTGGACCAGGGCATCACTGAGATCTGCATGGAGGAATGGGCCAACATACCAGCAACAGTGTGTGCCAACCTTGTGAAGACTTACAGGAAACATTTGACCTCTGTCATTGCCAACAAAGGATATATAACAAAGTATTGAGATGAACTTTTGATATTGACCAAATACTTATTTTCCAAATAAAAATCAGCCAATGTGATTGTCTGGATTTTTTTTTCTTATTTTGTATTCTGACTCAGATTGTTGTGATAGCGATTTATCCCTTGTGAGACCTCTCTGCCTAACCTGTATAAGCAGATATAATCACTGTGGGCAATCCTTATCAGATAGCTGAACTCACCAATACTGTGTTCATCCAGAAGTTGCTTTATTCTGTACATGTGAAACAGGATACAGCAGAATGAATGGTTTCCAGTATTATGCGGTCAAAAGATGACACTTTCTGTAGCGTACTATGCAGAATACATGTGTCCCTGTTACATGTGGTCTGTTAGCTGCATCCATGACACAGGAAGTGCTGAACTCAAGAAGAAGGGAGGAGCTTCATATACAAAGGAATTGTGTCATAGATCTCAGGGAGGCAATATAAAACAAATGCATTACAAATAAGACCAGTGGATGGCAGCATTACTAACTATAGAAATGTCCATAGGAAATGGTACAAAGAATAAACTATATGAATTCTCATGAACATTAACATAAATATTAACTGTGTAACAGCATACTCCCCGTCTGGCATTGTAAATGTCACTATTTAAACCATAACGGTAGTTATTACAATTGCAAATAAACAACAGCGCAATTTGCTTGATGTCTTGAAGACCTGAAAGACAT